GCCAAGCGAAGCCAAGCGAAGCCAAGCGAAGCCAAGCGAAGCCAAGCGAAGTGAAGCGAAGCCAAGCAAAGCCAAGCGATGCCAAGGGCAGCAAAGCCAAGAGAAGCCAAGTGAAGCCAAGCCAAGCCAAGCGAAGCCAAGCAAAGCCAAGCGAAGCGAAGGAAAGCCAAGCAAAGCCAAGCAAAGTGAAGCCAAGCGAAGCAAAGCGAAGCCAAGCGAAGCCAAGCAAAGCCAAGCGTAGCCAAGCAAAGCGAAGCAAAGCCAAGCGAAGCGAAGCCAAGCAAAGCCAAGCGATGCGAAGCGAAGCAAAGCCAAGCAAAGCGAAGCCAAGCTAATTCAAGCGGAGCCAAGCGGAGCCAAGCAAAGCCAAGCGAAGCCAAGCCAAGCGAAGCCAAGCGAAGCGAAGCAAAGCCAAGCAAAGCCAAGCAAAGCCAAGTGAGGCCAAGCAAAGCCAAGCGAAGCCAAGCAAAGCCAACCAAAGCGAAGCGAAGCGAAGCGAAGCCAAGCGAAGCGAAGCCAAGCCAAGCGAAGCCAAGCAAAGCCAGGCGAAGCGAAGCAAAGCCAAGCGAAGAGAAGCAAAGCCAAGCGAAGCGAAGCAAAGCCAAGCGAAGAGAAGCGAAGCCAAGAGAAGCCAAGCCAAGCGAAGCCAAGTGAAGCCAAGCCAAGCCAAGCGAAGCGAAGCGAAGCCAAGCAAAGCCAAGCGATGCCAAGGGAAGCAAAGCCAAGAGAAGCCAAGTGAAGCCAAGCCAAGCCAAGCGAAACCAAGCAAAGCAAAGCGAAGCGAAGGAAAGCCAAGCGAAGCCAAGCAAAGCGAAGCCAAGCGAAGCAAAGCGAAGCCAAGCGAAGCCAAGCAAAGCCAAGCGTAGCCAAGCGAAGCGAAGCAAAGCCAAGCAAAGCGAAGCCAAGCGATGCGAAGTGAAGCAAAGCCAAGCAAAGCAAAGCCAAGCGAATTCAAGAGGAACCAAGCGGAGCCAAGCAAAGCCAAGCGAAGCCAAGCCAAGCGAAGCCAAGCGAAGCCAAGCGAAGCGAAGCAAAGCCAAGCAAAGCCAAGCGAAGCCAAGCGAAGCCAAGAGTGGCCCAGCTAAGCCAAGCGAAGCCAAGCAAAGCCAACCAAAGTGAAGCCAAGCGAAGCGAAGCAAAGCCAAGCGAAGCAAAGCAAAGCCAAGCGAAGTGAAGCGAAGCCAAGCGAAGCCAACCCAAGCGAAGCGAGGCGAAGCCAAGCAAAGCCAAGCAAAGCCAAGCGAAGCGAAGCCAAGCAAAGCAAACCCAAGCAAAGCCAATCCAAGCCAAGCGAATCCAAGCAAAGCAAAGCAAAGCCAAGCGAAGCCAAGGGAAGCCAAGCGACACCAAGTGAAGCCAAGCGAAGCCAAGCCAAGCCAAGCGAAGCCAAGCGAAGCGAAGCAAAGCCAAGCGAAGCGAAGCCAAGCGAATCGAAGCGAAGCCAAGCCAAGCGAAGCCAAGCCAAGCCAAGCGAAGCAAAGCGATGCAAAGCCAAGCGAAGAAAGGCAAAGCCAAGCGAAGCCAAGCCAAGCAAAGCCAAGCGAAGCCAAGCGAAGCGAAGCCAAGCCAAGTGAAGCAAAGCCAAGCGATGCCAAGCAAAGCGAAGCGAAGCCAAGTGAAGCCAAGCGAAGCCAAGCGGAGCGAAGCGAAGCGACGCGAAGCCAAGCGAGGCCAAGCGAAGCCAAGTGGAGCGAAGTCAAGCGAAGCGAAGTGAAGCCAAGCGAACCGAAACGAAGCAAAGCCAAGCACAGCGAAGCAAAGCGAAGCAAAGCCAAGAAAAGCCAAGCAAAGAGAAGCCAAGCGAAGCGAAGCCAAGCAAAGCCAAGTGAAGCCAAGCGAAGCCAAGCGAGGCCAAGCAAAGCTAAGCGAAGCGAAGCGAAGCCAAGTGAAGCGAAGCGAAGCCAAGCAAAGCTAAGCAAAGCCAAGCGAAGCCAAGCGAAGCGAAGCGAAGCCAAGCCAAGCGAAGCGAAGTGAAGCCAAGTGAAGCAAAGCGAAGCCAAGCAAAGCGAAGCCAAGATGCGAAGCGAAGCCAAGCAAAGTGAAGCGAAGTGAAGTGAAGTGAAGCCAAGCGAAGCAAAGCGAAGCAAAACCAAGCAAAGCAAAGCAAAGCCAAGCAAAGCGAAGCCAAGCGAATCCCAGAGAAGCCAAGGGAAGCCAAGCGAAGCCCAGCGAAGCGAAGCCAAGTGAAGCCAAGCAAAGCCAAGCGAAGCCAAGCCAAGCGAAGCGAAGCGAAGCCAAGTGAATCAAAGCGAAGCGAAGCCAAGCGAAGCCAAGCAAAGCAAAGCGAAGCCAAGCAAAGCGAAGCGAAGCCAAGCCAAGCAAAGTCAAGCGAATCCAAGAGAAGCCAAGCGATGGCAAGCGAAGCAAAGCAAAGCGAAGCGAAGCGAAGCCAAGCCAAGCCAAGCGAAGCGAAGCGAAGCCAAGCGAAGCGAAGCGAAGCCAAACAAAGCCAAGCAAAGCCAAGGGAAGCCAAGCGAAGCCAAGCGAAGTGAAGCCAAGCGAAGTCAAGCAAAGCCAAGCGATGCCAAGTGAAGCCAAGCGAAGCGAAGAGAAGCGAAGCCAAGCGTAGCAAAGCAAAGCCAAGGGAAGCAAAGCGAAGCAAAGCCAAGCCAAGCGGAGCCAACCGAAGCCAAGCGAAGCGAAGCCAATCGAAGGGAAGCGAATCCAAGCGAAGCCAAGCGAAGCGAAGCCAACCAAAGCCAAGCGAAGCCAAGCGAAGCCAAGCAAAGCCAAGAGAAGCCAAGCGAAGCGAATCAAAGCGAAGTGAAGCAAAGCGAAGCGAAGCCAAGAGAAGCCAAGCGAAGCGAAGCCGAGCGAAGCGTAGGGAAGCCAAGCTAAGCGAAGGGAAGCCACGCAAAGCCAAGCGAAGCCAATCGAAGCCAAGCGAAGGGAAGCCAAGCAAAGCCAAGCGAAGCCAATCGAAGCCAAGCCAAGCCAAGCGAAGCGAAGCCAAGTGAAGTCAAGCAAAACCAAGCGAAGGGAAGCGAAGCCAAGCGAACCCAAGCGAAGGGAAGCGAAGCCAAGCAAAGCCAAGCGAAACAAAGCCAACCGAAGCCAAGCAAAGCCAAGCGAAGCGAAGTCAAGTCAAACGAAGCCAAGCAAAGCCAAGAGAAGCCAAGTGAAGCCAAGCAAAGCCAAGCGAAGTGAAGCCAAGCGAAGCCAAGCAAAGCAAAGCGAAGCCAAGCGAAGTGAAGCCAAGCGAATCCAAGCAAAGCGAAGCGAAGCCAAGCCAAGCGAAGCCAAGCCAAGCGAAGCCAAGCGAAGATAAGCAAAGCCAAGCGATGCCAAGTGAAGCCAAGCCAAGCGAAGCCAAGCGAAGCCAAGCGTAGCGAAGCAAAGCCAAGGGAAGCAAAGCGAAGCCAAGCGAAGCGAAGCCAATCGAAGGGAAGCGAAGCCAAGCGAAGCGAAGCCAACTGAAGCCAAGCGAAGCCAAGCAAAGCCAAGCAAAGTCAAGAGAAGCCAAGCGAAGCGAAGCCAACTGAAGCCAAGCGAAGCCAAGCCAAGCCAAGCAATGCCAAGCGAAGCCAAAGGATGCCAAGCGAAGCCAAGCGAAGCGAAGCAAAGCGAAGCGAAGCCAAGAGAAGCCAAGCGAAGCTAAGCCAAGCAAAGCCAAGTGAAGCGTAGGGAAGCCAAGCTAAGCGAAGTGAAGCCAAGCAAAGCCAAGCGAAGCGAAGCGAAGCCAGTCGAAGCCATGCGAAGCGAAGCCAAGCAAAGCCAAGCGAAGCCATTCGAAGCCAAGCCAAGCAAAGCCAAGCGAAGCCAAGGGAAGCCAAGCGAAGCCAAGCGAAGCGAAGCCAAGTGAAGTCAAGCAAAACCAAGCGAAGGGAAGCGAAGCCAAGCGAAGGGAAGCGAAGCCAACCGAACCAAAGCCAACCGAAGCCAAGCAAAGCCAAGCGAAGCCAAGTGAAGCCAAGTGAAGCCAAGAAAAGCCAAGCGAAGCCAAGCAAACCGAAGCGAAGCCTGGCGAAGCCAAGCAAGGCCAAGCGAAGCGAAGCGAAGCCAAGCGAATGTTGGTGCAACCCTATGGCTTGCACTCGACTTGTCGTCCTTATTTGTGTGTGTGCATGCATGGCATGGAATGACTTGTGAGTCTATGTCATTGCTATCTAGTGCTTGTGTGTGTGTTTGAATGGTGTATCACAATGTGGTTTGTGTCGGTCAAGACATTAGCGAGTTTTTACAACTCGCATGTCAAGTCGTCGTTTGTGTGTCGCATGTGTTTTTCTATTTTGTCGAGTGTGAAGTGTCCATCGTGTTGTAGGTGTGTGCAGCAAGCCCCCATCAACTCAAGAAGAATTTATCTTGCAGATCCAAGACCAAGAGCTCAAGATTTCAAGCCCAAGGGACACGGATAAATATTAAATAGTGAAAATAGTAACGCTACTTTGTGTAGTGTTACATTGCACTTGGTGTAGCCCCTTGGAGGGTTTGTTTCGAGACTCTTCATGGTTGGGGACTCTGTGGTGGTGTACCACCAACCTGGACCTTGGCTCTTGGGGTATGTAGATGCTGGGAACCATCTCCATCTAAAATTCTTCTTCCCAAGTTTTTGTACTCCTATGACTATAGTGGCTGCTGTACCTCCTGCCAATCAAACCGCCATAGCGTCGTCAAATCTTCATGGAATTTCATGAATCAACTTGCTGCTGATAGACGACAGCAACGCGCTCCAGATCCAGTCGCCGGTCAAGCATGTTACATCGGCTTTGGGGAAGCAAGCAGAGGTGAAAGGTATGTTAGGATTAAGGACAGAGTCTAGGTGAACTTAGGAGCTAGAATTACTCAAAATATAAATCCGAAATTCTGGACAGAAAAGTCGTCTTCACAAGAAACGACGTCGACAAAACACTAGCCGTTGGAATGTCGCGAAACTTGGATATGTTGTAGCTCTTGATCTCAGCTACCGTTCCCAATTTGAATCACGTTGATTGATGAAGTATTCGCGACGCTATGGCTTTCGACGCACTAGGGGGTAAGCTGTAGGAGGAGAACTTAACTCAATCTCAAGAGTTCAATCAAAGTTCAAGAATCTCACAAGGAATTTGAGGAGCAAGAGAAAGGTTGGGATAGGAAGAGAGGGATGAGAGGGAAGGTCCCAAGAGAGTCCCCAACCAAGGAAACCCCATAAGCACAAAGATTCCCTCCCTATAGGAACCCCAACTTTGACATTTGTCCCTTCCCAACCAATCCATCCAAGTTGGCCACCCTTGCCAACCTAGCTTGGTTGTTCCCAACCAATTTGCAGCTGTTACAGTAGAGTGACAAGTTTCCCCAACCCCAAAGGTCCCAACTCCATATAGAGTCACCCCACAACTTCACTTTGTAACCGCCGCAATTGTAACGCAAGCTCATGAACTTTGAATCTTCATAGCTTTCGCGTTCTTGCTCCGATTGAAGGGATTCTCGTTGCGTCGGAAAGATCTTCTCAAGATCTATCATCACAAAAAACCTGCTCAAACAAAATAACACAAAACACATTCCCAAACTCCAGAACACATCACACACAAATTCTTGCACACGTTCAAACCACACATGCAAGTTGAAAAAAATATGGGATGGGAGGCAGACAGAATGTGATAGCATATGATGACATCACACAACAATCTCCCCCTCTGGCTGCCAACCATCATCCACCATACCAACATCTCAAGCATGCATACTCAATGCACACTCATCCCAGCAAGCTTCATGCCCTTCCAATGATCCGCCTCCGCCAGACGCTTGGTGAAAATATCTGCTGCCTGCTGATAGGTCTTCACTATCTCCAGCCGCACCTCCTTATCAAGGAGTCTCCTCACCCAGTGCCACTTAGGCCTTATGTGTTTTGTCAGCCCATGCAGACAAGCATTCTTGGCGAGCTTCACAGCAGACTCATTGTCACAGAACACAACTGTCGGCTCCTCCTGACCAACTCCCAACTCCTCCAACAAACGCCTCAGCCATACCACTTCCTTGGCCCCATGGTGTAAGGCCATGTACTCAGTCTCACATGAAGTCAATCCCACCTCATTCTGCTTCTTGCTGCGCCAGCTCACAGCACCACCTCCTAGCAAGCACACATAACCCCCAATGCTGGTGCCATCCGCTTTCACTGAGTTGAAGCTAGCGTCAGTATAGCAACTCAAGAGCATCTCACCACTCTTCACATCTGCAGCACCTCTCTGCAACCGCTGCCTCACTCCACTGTACTCCAATCCCACTGATGCCGTAGCACTCACATAGCGGACCAACCTCTTGGCCGCTTCCAGCTGCTCATGACTAGGGCGTGAGACCACACTAGCCAACCGTGATGTAGAAAATGCAATGTCAGGCCGTGTATGATTTGCAGCATAATTCAGCGACCCAACCATCGAATGAAACAGCTTCCTGTCACTCTCACCCACTACCTCCTCATCAGCACATGGCTCCACAGTAAACCCTGAAGGTAGTGGTGTTGCTGGCTTTCCCCCATCTTGCAGCCCATACTTCTCAGCCAGCCCCTCACAGTACTTCCTCTGGTGCAACCTCAGCACACCCTTTTCCACATCTCTCTCCACATGCATCCCCAAGTAGTACTTCGCCTCACCCATCTTGGAGCACTTGAACTGCATCTCCAGCATCTGCTCTGCGCTGTCCAGCAAAGCAGTGGATGCAGAAAAGAGAAGGATATCATCCATATACACCAAGAGCATGAGGATTTCGTCCTTCTCCTGCAGCAGGAACAGGCTGGGGTCACACTCACTCTTCTTGAAACCCCCAGCCACCAGCGCCTCCTCCAACTTGTGATACCATGCACGAGGCGCCTGCTTAAGGCCATAGATTGCCTTCTTCAGCCTGCAGACCCTGCCGCTCCCATCATCCAGCCCCTCTGGCTGCTTCATGTACACCTCCTCCAGAATGATCCCATTCAGAAAGGCAGTCACAATGTCCATCTGCCGTATCTTCCATCCCAGGAGTGCAGCTATCGCCAACAGCACCCTCAGTGTTGTTCCTTTCCCCACAGGAGCAAATACCTCATCATAGTCCTTCCCTTTTGTCTGCTGAAACCCCCGTGCCACAAGCCTAGACTTGTATCGGGTCAGCTCCCCTTCAGGTCCATACTTGTGCCTGTAGATCATCTTGGAAGTGATTGCCTTCTTTCCAGGAGGCAAGTCACACAGGTCCCATGTCTCGTTCTCAATCAGGGACCCAAACTCCTCATCCTCACTCGCCTTCCACTTCTCCCCATTTGGTCCATTCAAGGCCTCCTCTCGAGTCTTGGGCTCAGGGATTGGTGCCCAGTAGCAGTGAGCGATCTCATCTTCCTCAATCTGCTCAACCACACTCCCAGCCTGCACCACATTCGGCTTGCCTCTTCCCCATAGGTCAGCCTCACCGGAGGGCGCACATCCCTCCTAGGTCGCTCAGGCGGGTGTGGAACTCGAGATGGAGACTCATGCTGCTGCTGCTGCTGCTGCTCTACTTCAGCTGCTCCCCCTTCCTCAGTCACCCCAGACATCTCCTCCTCTGACACTGCAACCTCTACCTGTCTTGAAGGCCGCTGCACCTCATCCGCCTCCACAATGAGCGGTGTAGATGGAAGCTTCTGTTGCTGCTGCTTCCATTCCTTGTAGTACAGGGACTCAAGAAACTTCACATCCCTTGACACTGTCAACTTCTGGGTGGTCAAGTCCCATAGCAGCCACCCCTTGTGATCCTTTGCAATCCCCAAGTGCACACCCCATCTTCCAGAAGCCTCCAACTTCCCCCTTTTCTCCTTAGGCACATGAAACACTACCATGCACCCAAATGCCCTCAGCATATTCACAGCTGGAGCACTCCCATACCACTTGACATATGGGATCCACTCCTTATCTCCAACTGTAGCCAGCACCCTGTTCTTCACAAGGGCGACCTGCCTCAGTGCAGACACCCAAAACGGATCAGGCAGCCCTGCACGCCCAAGGAGAGTGCGTGCCCCCTCCTGCAGGGTCCTGTTGAACCTCTCAGCCACGCCATTCTGCTGCGGGTTGTAGGGCACTGTCAGTTGATGTTGGATCCCCTTCCTCTTCAACTCCCCCTCAAAATCAGCTCCAATGAACTCCCCACCATTGTCACTACGGATCACCTTCACCTTGTGTCCGCATTCCCTCTGAGCTCTCGGCATCCACTCCTTAAGGACAGCCGCTGCCACCTCCCCCTTGCTCTTCAAAGGGTAAACCCACACTGCCCGAGTGTGGTCATCCACAATTGTCAAGAAATAGCGGCTACCTGAGAGGGAAGGGGCTCTTGTGGGCCCCACCACATCCATGTGCACAAGTGCAAGTGGGGTCTTGGCTGGTCCTGTAGTGCTGTTGAAGGGGAACTTGGAGAACTTGGTCTCCAAGCATGTAGGGCAGCTCCCAATCTCCTTCACTCCCCCTTTCACCTCCAAGCCCTTCAGGCTCCCATCCTTCACCAACTTCTGCAGCATAGGGAAGTTCACATGACACAGCCTCTCATGCCATGTCTCCCAATCGGCCTCTCCACTCCTTGGTGAAGCCTTAGCCCATGCCGCACTTGCATCCACACCAGCAAGCACCTCACCATGTGTCTGCTGCTGCTGCACTTTCTTGACTGCTTCCAGGACCCCATCAGTTGGTGCAGTTGCATCTCCTCCTGCTGTTGCCTTTGCCACTGCTGCCGTTGCTGCTGTTGGAGTCTTCCCATTCCATGGGATGATGGGCAGCTGCCACAGGTCCTTGATGCAGCTGGTCTCCTCTTCCAGACTCCACAGCACCTTCTTCCCAAGCTTAGCACGGCAGCTGGTTGGTCCAAAGGTCACTTCGGCCTTGCTCTTCTGCAGTCGTCGCACAGAGAGAAGGTTAGCAGACAAGCCTTCAACCAGCAGAACATTCCCAAGCCCCACAAGCTCCCCATTTGCTCCCTTAACCTTGGCATTCCCAACACCAATGACAGGGAGCAAAGCACCTGACGCTGCTGCCACATACTTGATCTTCCCAGGGGGTTTTACCTCATCAAGCAAATCTGCCCGTGGAGTCATGTGACTGGTGCAACCCGAATCAATCACCCAGTGCGTGAGAGGGTGCATCACAACCTTTCCCACAGATCCCACATCACCCTCATGCCCATGCACATCCTCAACCATAAGAAACAAACCAGGATAGGCATTACCTTGTGCACCTTCACCTTGTGCACCTGAGCCTTGCACAGCGCCACCTTGTGCGCGTTCACCACTGGGCGGCTTCATGCCTGGAGGTGCCCATCCCTCCAGCCTGCTGAAGCACTTGAACCAAGGATGCCCAACCTTCTTGCAGTACCAGCACGTGCCCTCCATTCTGGTACTCCCCCTGCCACTAGAGCTCCCATGCCCCTCATTATAGTCACCTCGGCCTCTACCTCTGCCAAAGCTCCTCCCACGGCCTCGGCCTTTCCAACCCCCTCTTCCTCTGCTGCGCCCTGCAGCTCCATACCCCTCAGCAGTCTTAGTGGCAGCACCGCCTCCCACATGGCGTCTGCGGAAGTCCTCCTGCAGAATCTGCTGCCTTAGCCACTCAGGTGTCCATTGATCTTGCTGAGAGTTGAGGGTGGGGATGAGGTTGTCCCAAGAGTTGTCCAACACCGAGATGATCTTGGTGCACTGCTGCAGCTGAGATACACTGCTGCCCGCTGCTGCCATCCTTGCATAGGTGTCCTTGATCTTGTCAAGGACCGGCTTCACATCGTCCCCTGGTCGCATGGAGATGGCAGCAAGTTCCTTCTCGAGCACGATCACCATCGGGAGAGTGTTGGGCTGAACCACATCACGTAGTAGTTTCCACGCCCTTGGACCCGAATCATCCGCTTCCACAAGATCCTTGATGTGCTCGAACATCTCCTTGTTGACCGATTGAAGAATGAGGTCGAAAAGCACCGCGCTTTTCTCAATCCACCGTTCACGTGCTTCGCCTTCTTCCGGCATCTTCTCTTCCCCAACAGCAATCTTCAGGAGCTTGTAGCGTTTGAAGGCACTCCTCATCCGTCCGCTCCATTCCTCATAGTTGGAGCCATCCAAAGCTTCAACTTTTGATGGCGGCGGCTCACTTGTCTTCTCAGCTACAGCTCCTCTTCCATTAGCATCTCCTCCTCTCTCATTCATCTTCTCCTTGAGAAATGACGAATTGCAGCTCCCCTTTGCTGTCCACACTCAGCTCCCTCGATATTTTCACAAGTGTCGGCGTCCACGAAATTTCGGCAGAGTTTCCCCTTAGCGGAAGACACATCCAACCTTTAGAACACCACTTAGGCACACCCACAGGCCATGGTGGGTCTAGAAGGGTCTTCACACTTCTGTAGACTCCTCTCAATGTCCTTAATATCGCTCTGATACCACTTGTTTAGGATTAAGGACAGAGTCTAGGTGAACTTAGGAGCTAGAATTACTCAAAATATAAATCCGAAATTCTGGACAGAAAAGTCGTCTTCACAAGAAACGACGTCGACAAAACACTAGCCGTTGGAATGTCGCGAAACTTGGATATGTTGTAGCTCTTGATCTCAGCTACCGTTCCCAATTTGAATCACGTTGATTGATGAAGTATTCGCGACGCTATGGCTTTCGACGCACTAGGGGGTAAGCTGTAGGAGGAGAACTTAACTCAATCTCAAGAGTTCAATCAAAGTTCAAGAATCTCACAAGGAATTTGAGGAGCAAGAGAAAGGTTGGGATAGGAAGAGAGGGATGAGAGGGAAGGTCCCAAGAGAGTCCCCAACCAAGGAAACCCCATAAGCACAAAGATTCCCTCCCTATAGGAACCCCAACTTTGACATTTGTCCCTTCCCAACCAATCCATCCAAGTTGGCCACCCTTGCCAACCTAGCTTGGTTGTTCCCAACCAATTTGCAGCTGTTACAGTAGAGTGACAAGTTTCCCCAACCCCAAAGGTCCCAACTCCATATAGAGTCACCCCACAACTTCACTTTGTAACCGCCGCAATTGTAACGCAAGCTCATGAACTTTGAATCTTCATAGCTTTCGCGTTCTTGCTCCGATTGAAGGGATTCTCGTTGCGTCGGAAAGATCTTCTCAAGATCTATCATCACAAAAAACCTGCTCAAACAAAATAACACAAAACACATTCCCAAACTCCAGAACACATCACACACAAATTCTTGCACACGTTCAAACCACACATGCAAGTTGAAAAAAATATGGGATGGGAGGCAGACAGAATGTGATAGCATATGATGACATCACACAACAAGGTATGGGCAAGGCCATGTTCAAGGGTGCTGATGGAAAGATGGTGGGCCTCAAGAACGTGCTTTGGGTGCCCAACCTTGCAGCCAACCTGATTTCTGTGCGGCGTTTGCAAAAGGCGTGCATGGACACATCTTCCAAGGGATCCAAAACCTTGGTGAGCGGAAGCTTTGGGACCTTCATGAGGACAGGGACATCTACAATGAGATGTGGCAAATCCCAAGCAAAGCGAAGCCAAGCGAAGCGAAGCAAAGCCAAGCGAAGCCAAGCGAAGCCAAGCGATGCGAAGTGAAGCCAAGCAAAACCAAGCAAAGCCAAGCGAAGCCAAGCCAAGCGAAGCCAAGCGAAGCCAAGAGATGGCAGGCGAAGCCAAGCCAAGCGAAGTGAAGCCAAGCAAAGCCAAGCGAAGCCAAGAGAAGCCAAGCTAAGCCAAGCAAAGCCAAGCGAAGCCAAGCGAAGCCAAGCGAACCCAAGCATAGCCAAGCCAAGCCAAGCAAAGTGAAGCCAAGCAAAGCGAAGCCAAGCAAAGCGAAGCGAAGCCAAGCAAAGCCAAGCAAAGCCAAGCAAAGCGAAGCGAAGCCAAGCAAAGCCAAGCGAAACCAAGCGAAGAGAAGCCAAGCGAAGCAAAGCAAAGCCAAGCGAAGCCAAGCAAAGCCAAGCAAAGCGAAGCGAAGCCAAGGGAAGCCAAGCGAAGCCAAGTGAAGCAAAGCAAAGCCAAGCAAAGCGAAGTGAAGCCAAGCGAAGCGAAGCGAACCAAAGCTAAGCGAAGCGAAGCCAAGCGAAGCGAAGCGAAGCCAAGCAAAGCGAAGCGAAGCCAAGCCAAGCGAAGCGAAGCAAAGCCAAGCGAAACAAAGCCAAGCGAAGCAAAGTGAAGCGAAGCAAAGCAAAACCAAGCGAAGCCAAGCGAGGTGAAGCGAAGCCAAGCCAAGCAAAGCCAAGCGCAGCCAAGCGAAGCCAAGCGATGCCAAGCACAGCCAAGCGAAGCCAAGCGAAGCCAAGCGAAGCGAATCAAAGCTAAGCCAAGCGAAGCCAAGCGAGCGAAGCCAAGCAAAGCGAAGCTAAGCCGAGCAAAGCCTGACGAAACCAAGCCAGGCAAAGCCAAGCAAAGGCAAGCGAAGACAAGCGAAGCCGAGGGAAGCCAAGCAAAGCCAAGCAAAGCCAAGCGATGCCAAGCAAAGCCAAGCGAAGGGAAGCGAAGCCAAGCGAAACCAAGGGAAGCCAAGGTACGCCAAGCGAAGCCAAGCAAAGCCAAGCGAAGCGAATCGAAGCCAAGCGAAGCCAAGCAAAGCGAAACAAAGCCAAGGGAAGCCAAGCAAAGTGAAGCGAAGCCAAGCGAAGCAAAGCCAAGTGAAGCCAAGTGAAGCCACACAAAGCCAAGCAAAACGAAGCGAAGCCAAGTGAAGGGAAGCGAAGCCACGCGAAGCCAAGTGAAGCAAAGCAAAGCCAAGGGAAACCAAGCGAAGCCAAGCCAAGCGAATCCAAGCAAAGCCAATCGAAGCCAAGCGAAGCCAAGCAAAGCCAACCAAAGCGAAGCCAAGTGAAGCCAAGTGAAACAAATTGAAGCCAAGCGAAGAGAAGCGAAGCCAAGCAAAGCAAAGCAAAGCCAAGCTTAGCCAAGCAAAGCAAAGCGAAGCCTAGCGAAGTGAAGCGAAGCCAAGCCAAGCGAAGCCAAGCAAAGCAAAGCGAAGCCAAGCGAAGCCAAGCAAATCCATGCTAAGCCAAGCGATGGCAAGCGAAGCCAAGCGAAGCCAAGCAAAGCCAAGCGAAGCGAAGCAAAGCCAAGCAAAGCCAAGCGAAGCCAAGCAAGGCGAAGCGAAGCCAAGCGAAGCGAAGCAAAGCAAAGATAAGCCAAGCGAAGCGAAGCCAACAAAGCAAAGAAAAGCCAAGCGAAGCGAAGCCAAGCAAAGCGAAGCCAAGCGAAGTGAAGCAAAGCCAAGCCAAGCGAAGCGAAGCCAAGCCAAGCCAAGCAAAGTGAAGCCAAGCAAAGCCAAGCCAAGCGAAGCAAAGCCAAGCGAAGCCAAGCGAAGTGAAGCCAAGCAAAGCCAAGCAAAGCCAAGCAAAGCCAAGCAAAGCCAAGCAAAGCCAAGCGAATCCAAGCAAAGCCAAGCAAAGCCAAGCGATGCCAAGCAAAGCCAAGTGAAGCGAAGCCAAGCGAAACCCAGCGTAGCGAAGTGAAGCCAAGCCAAGCGAAGTGAAGCGAAGCCAAGCGAAGCCAAGCCATGCCAAAGGAAGCCAAGTGAAGCGAAGCAAAGCCATGCGAAGAGAAGCCCAGCCAAGGAAGCCAAGGGAAGCCAAGCGAAGCCAAGCGAAGCGAAGCCATGCAAAGCGAAGAGAAGCAAAGCAAAGCAATGCGAAGCCAAGCGAAGCCAAGCGAAGCCAAGGGAAGCCAAGGGAAGCCAAGCGAAGCCAAACGAAGCCAAACAAAGCCAAGCGATGCCAAGCAAAGCCAAGCAAGGTGAAGCGATGCCAAGCGAAGCGAAGCAAAGCCAAGGGAAGCCAATCGAAGCCAAGCGAAGCCAAGTGAAGCCAAGCGAAGCCAAGCCAAGCGAAGCGAAGGTAAGCCAAGCGAAGCGAAGCGAAGGGAAGCCAAGCAAAGCGAAGTGAAGCCAAGCAAAGCGAAGCGAAGCCAAGCGAAAGGAAGCCAAGCTAAGCGAAGCCAAATGAAGCTAAGCCAAGCAAAGCCAAGCCGAGCCAAGCAAAGCCAAGCGAAGCGTGTTGTGTGATGTCATCATATGCTATCACATTCTGTCTGCCTCCCATCCTTGTTTCTATTCGCATGTATGGTTTGACTGTGTGTGAAAGAATTTGTGTGGTGTGTTCTGGAGTTTGGGAATGTGTTATTCTGTCTGGGCAGGTATTTGTGATGATAGATCTTGAGAAGATCTTTCCGAGGCAACAAGAATCGCTTCAATCAGAGCAAGAATGCGAAAGCTATGAAGATTCAAAGTTCATGAGGTTGCGTTACAATTGCGGCGGTTACAAAGTGAAGTTGTGGGGTGACTCTATATGGAGTTGGGACCTTTGAGGGTTGGGAAAATTCGTCACTCTACTGTAGCAGCTGCGAATTGATTGGGAACAACCAAGCTAGGTTGGCAAGGGTGGCAAATTTGGATGGATTGGTTGGGAAGCGACAAATGTCAAAGTTGGGGTTCCTATAGGGGGGGAATCTTTGTGCTTATGGGGTTTCCTTGGTTGGGGACTCTCTTAGGACATTCCCTCTCTTCCCTCTCTTCTATCCCAACCTTTCTCTTGCTCCTCTAATTCCTTGTGAGATTCTTGAACTTTGATTGAACTTTTGAGATTGAGTTAAGTTCTCCTCCTACAGCTTACCCCTCAGTGCGTCAAAAGACATAGCCTCACGAATACTCCATCAATGGACGTGATTCAAATTGGGAACGGTAGCTAAGATTATAGGCTACAACATATCCGATGTTCGTGACATTCCAACAGCTAGATTTGCGTCGACTTCATTTCTTGTGAAGACTTTTCTGTCCAGAATTTCGGATTTATATTTTGAGCAATTCTAGCTCCTAAGTTCACCTAGACTCCGTCCTTAATCCTAACAAAGCGAAGCGAAGCCAAGCAAAGCGAAGCAAAGCCAAGTGAAGCCAAGCCAAGCCAAGCGAAGCCAAGCAAAGCCAAGCAAAGTGAAGCCAAGCCAAGCAAAGCGAAGCGAAGCCAAGCAAAGCGAAGCGAAGCCAAGCGAAGCGAAGCGAAGCCAAGCGAAGCCAAGCAAAGCGAAGCCAAGCGAAGCCCAGTCAAGCCAAGCCAAGTTAAGCAAAGCCAAGCAATGGCAAGCGAAGCCAAGTGAAGCCAACCGAAGCGAAGCCATCCGAAGCGAAGCAAAGCCAAGCAAAGCGAAGCAAAGCCAAGCGAAGCAAAGCCAAGCGAAGCAAAGCCAAGCGAAGCGAAGCAAAGCGAAGCAAAGCCAAGCTTAGCGAAGCAAAGCCAAGCAAAGCGAAGCCAAGCCAAGCGAAGCGAAGCCAAGCCAAGCGAAGCCAAGCGAAGCCAAGCCAAGCGAAGTGAAGCAAAGCCAAGCGAAGCGAAGCGAAGCCAAGCGAAGCGAAGGAAAGCCAAGCGAAGGTAAGCAAAGCCAAGCAAAGCCAAGCAAAGCTTAGCGAAGCCTAGAAAAGCCAAGCGAAGCGAAGCCAAGCGAAGCGAAGCCAATCGAAGTGAAGCGAAGCCAAGCGAAGCGAAGCGAAGCCAAGCCAAGCCAAGCCAAGCAAAGCAAAGCCAAGAGAAGCCAAGCCAAGCAAAGCGAAGCCAAGCGAAGCCAAGCCAAGCAAAGCCAAGCCAAGCCAAGCGAAGCCAAGTGAAGCCAAGCAAAGCCAAGCGAAGCGAAGCGAAGCGAAGGCAAGCGAAGCGAAGCCAATCGAAGTGAAGCGAAGCCAAGCGAAGCAAAGCGAAGCAAAGCCAAGCCAAGCCAAGCAAAGCAAAGCCAAGCGAAGCCAAGCCAAGCTAAGCGAAGCCAAGCAAAGCCAAGCCAAGCAAAGCCAAGCCAAGCCAAGCGAAGCCAAGTGAAGCCAAGCAAAGCCAAGCAAAGTGAAGCGAAGCCAAGCAAAGCCAAGCGATGTCAAGCGAAGCCAAGCAAAGCCAAGCGGAGCCAAGCAAAGCCAAGCAAAGCCAAGCGATGTCAAGCGAAGCCAAGCGACGCCAAGCGAAGCGAAGCCAAGCGATGCCAAGCGAAGCCAAGCGAAGCCAAGTGAAGCCAAGCAAAGCCAAGCGGATCGAAGCCAAGCCAAGCGAAGTGAAGCGAAGCCAAGCAAAGCGAAGCGAAGCGAAGCAAAGCCAAGCGAAG